CCTTCCCCCCCCCCCAGTCCCACTTGCCCCTCCCTTTGCAAGGCTGCAGACTCAAAGCCTGCAAGGGCTGGGAGCCAGCAGCCCTACAGGCCTGGAGCAGCCTTCCAATAAAAGTCGTGAGACAAAAGCTATTGTCCTAGAAAAGGAATATTTTTCAAAATCAACCCTACAATATGATACCTATCCAATATACTAGAGTTTGAAATAATTGACTTGCATTATCTGGATGAGCTGATATTGCCAAAGGATGTTCTCTTTCTATTATGTTGGGGTATTTGGAGCTCTTCCAAGTCAAATTTTACTAAAGATTGCCTGATTCAAATTGTCCTACTTGCCTCCTTTCTCTAATAATCTGTGAATTCCCATCTCATAGATTTCTTCCTGCTTGCTCTATCTGTCCTTCTGGGCTTAAGTTACAAGTGACAAATAGTAAAATGGGGTGTTAGTCATATGAGAGGAAGTCTTTTTTTTTTCCTTCCTAAGCAAAGATCCTTTTGGAACTATCCTGACATTTCCCTTTTAAAAAAAATCTTTGCTTTTGAATTTAGAATTCTAGCATCATCTCTAATCCAATTCCCTAAGTCACCTCAAAGTAGCAAGAAGGCAATTACTTATAGTCCATCCTGGCCCCTCTGGATTACTCTTGCTTATATGGGAAAGGTCTTTCTTGAAAAGGAAATTAGGGTGCTTTTGTTGGTAGTGACCCTGTTGTTTGCTTTCTGAATCTAGCCTAGATGTTGCCAGAACCTTACAAAGCTCACGAACTCAACACTTGCAAGGCTGGAGTTTCTCCTGAATTAAACCTATAATAACAAGTGTTCCTTAAATGTGTGAGGGGATTTAAGTTTTAATATGTCATTGTAAAACCAGTAGCCACATAATTAAATGTTCACCTTTTAACCAACTGGCACTGAAAGAAGAAAGAGTACAAATCAAGTCAACGTTATAATCAAATATTCAGGATTAAGTTTTTCTGTTCAAGTAATCTCACCCATTAATTTTACAAGTAGCAGATGCTTTTTATCTTAACATTTACTCCATATTTTCTTAAACATGATTTATTGCTCATCCCAAGTTGACTTCTTTAGTAAACGAAATAGTAGTACCATATGTGAATGTTAGCACGTTATAATTAATTACAAATGGTGACCTTTCTGTTGACCTTATTTTCCACCATACTTACAGATAATTGAATCTAACTGTTCCAGCAAGTATCGGTGAATAAAATGAACATATGACAAGTTAAAATACTTATTTCCAGTACTGATGGAGAGTAATACTGCTTCTTACCAAAAATCAGGTTCAGTAGTGTTGCAAGACAGAATTCAGGATATTGAATAGGATGTGAAAGGAGAATTGAGCAAATTGTTGCTAAGGTCTTCAAACATTAAGGCTTTTGTGTCTGGAATGCAACCAGCCATATAGATCTAAATCTCTGCTTTACATAACCTAAAATGATGTTAAAAGGTTAATCTTGGTCATGGCCACAAAAAAGATTACAGCAATTTTTAAGTGCCATATAGCCTGACTGTGTAACAACCATCCCTGTTGCTCAATATTCACTCTTGCGTATTCTCATGAAGTCATTATGACTACTCCCTTAAAAGCTATCCAACATTCAGAGTAGGGATTGCATAGTTAGATACATTATTTCAATCCGCTTTTTACTTAAGCATTGATAGAAAAGTGATCCTCACTTCAAACATCTGAGTATTATCCTGTATGTACAGCCACAGAAGGATTCAGGAATTACAATAACAATGACTAGTAGTCCG